GTTATCCAAAGCCTGCCTTTGACTTCCATTGGCACCCGTGTGATCTACATAAATGTATGCAGCCAAATGATGTGTACACATAAAATTCAAAATGTTAATAAATCTCTAAAAAGAACAGGAAATGACTTGGCACCATGTATGTTGACCTAGTGTATCTATTCAGCACAATTCTTGTAAAAAATACTGAGTTTAACTATATATTTAACTACAAATTTTATGTCTTTTAGCCTATAGCTACCTCCTTCCATACTCGTTCCCTATAGGTGAAAACAAATGCCTAGCACCATACGTGAGTTTAGCTTTGCCCTAGGATTTGCAACTTAGGAATCATCTAGTCCAGTGTTTCTCAAACTGAGAGCCCCAATTAAAAATGGACATCTGCGAGCATCCGCCTCTGTATTGGTCAGGCTCCGGCAGAGTCTCTCAGGGGACAGCTACACCAGGCTCCTGTCAGCAAGCACTTCTTGGCATCAGCAATAGTGTCTGGGTTTGGTGTCTGCAGATGGGATGGATCCCCAGTCTCTGGGTGGCCTTTCCTTCAGTCTCTGCTCCACTCTTTCTCCCTGCATTTCCTTCAGCCAGGAACAATTCTGTGTTAATATTTTTGAGATGGGTGGGTGGCCCCATCCCTCAACTGGGGGCCATGCCTAACATCTGGATATGGTCTCTACAGGTCTCTCCTCTTTGTTGGGTATTTCAGCTGTCATTCCTGTTGGGTCCTGGGAGCCTCTTGCATCTGGGACTTTCTAGTGGCTACCCTCAGTTCCCCATCCCCAACTGCTACTCACCTCTGTTCAATTTCCTGGCCCGCCCCCTCTGTACTTCTCCCCCCTCCCCCATTTCCTCCCACACCTGATCCTGTCCCCCTTTTTCCGTCCCCCTCCCTCTCCCTCCTAGGAACCCCCCTCCCTCTACCATCCATGATTATTTTGTTCCCCCTTCTAAGTAGGTCTGAAGCACCCACTCTTTAGTCTTCCTTCTTCATGAGCTTCATGTGGTCTGTGAGTTGAATCTTGGGTATTTCAAAGTTCTGGGCTAATATCCAATAATCAGTGAGTGACTACCATGTGTGTTCTTTTGTGATTAGGTTACCTTACTCAGGATGATATTTTCTAGTTCCATCCATTTACCTAGGAATTTCTTGAATTCATTGTTTTCAATAGCTGAGTAATATTCCATTGTGTAAATGTACCACATTTTCTGTAACCATTTCTCTGTTGAGAGACATCTGGGTTGTTTCCAGCTTCTGACTATTATAAATAAGGCTGCTATGAACATAGTGGAGCATGTGTCCTGGTTATATGTTGGAACATCTTCTGGGTATATGCCCAGGAGTGGTATAACTGGGTCCTCGGGTATTAGGGGAAGAACTGAAGGAGCTGAAGGGGATTACAACCCCATGGGAAGAACAACAATATCAACCAACCAGATCTGACCCCCCCAAAGTTCCCAGAGACTAAACCACCAACAGAAGAGTACACATGGAGGGACCCACGGCTCCAGTTGCTTATGTAGCAGAGGATGGCCTTATCTGGCATCAATAGGAGGGGAAGCCCCAGGTCCTGTGGAGACTCGATGCCCCAATGTAGGGGAATGCTAGGGTGGTGAGGCAGCAGTGGGTGGGTAGATCCTTCATAGAAGCAGGGGGAGGGGAGGGAATGGGGGTTTGAGGAGGGGAAACTGGGAAAGGAGAAAACATTTGAAATGTAAATAAATATAATAACCAATTTTAAAAAAGAAATGGAGGTCCATGATCCTCACCCCATCACACACAGACCCTACGAGACCAGAATCTCCAAAAGAAGAGTCTAGCAACCAAAATGTGTGTGTGTGTGTGTGCGCGCGCGCGCGTGCGTGCGCGCACGTGCGTATGTTCACAAGTATGAACAGGTACATGTGTGCATGTGCTAGAGGATAGAAGTTGATGCCCGGCATCCTCAATTCCTCTCACCTTATATTTTGAGACAGGGTCTCTCAGCAATTCAGCTAGCAGTCTGATTGGCTAGTGAGCGTCAGAGACGGGCACATGCTGCCATGCCCAGTTTGTTTTTGTTTTGTTTTGTTTTTATGCAGGTGCTGGGAATCCAGATGCTCACCCACGGCAGCACGGCCAGCAAGCTGTTTCCTGACTGAGCCACCTCTCCGGCTCTGTCATCTGTGCTAACATGGTTCCCTGGTGACACTAATTCGTGTTTACAATGGGAGAGCCACTGGTCTGAGCTGTGTTATCTTTTGCAGATGAAGAAAATGAGATCCAGAGAAAATAAAAGATGGACTTGGCAGGCGTTGCCGTCACGGTGTCGTGGCAGCAGGACCAGATCCAGACATCTGAAGAAGATGCAGGCAGCTGGGACCAAACTGAGACCCCACCAGGGGCTGGTGCTTCTGCAGCAGAGGAGGCTTTAAGAAGAAGTGCACCACAGACAGGAAATCTGCCAAGTCCCCCAAGACATCAATCTCCTGGCTTGCCACTCCAGAATGGCATAGACCTCACGGGAAGTCACGGAGACAGCCCATTTTCTACGTCTCGATCGGCTTTTACCCACTGCAGTACTCCTATGTGAGTTAAAGCCCGATGAGCAAAGAGATTAAATTAGCAATTTGATGAGGGAACTTGAAATACAAATTGTTCCCTGAAAGACGTTTGATGACTAAACCACTGCTTGTGACCCCTGAGTGGTTTTTTTCCAGGTATCCTCACCATTAACATCCCCCGTGTTCCCGTGCTCTTCCATCTCTGATATCCCTTTGCACACGCCTTTCCTTCACATTTCCTTTATCGTCTCTGACAATTTGTTTCCTTAATTCAATAGTAAATATGGATGAATCACTCAGAAAACAGGCTGCTTGACTGAGTTCCAGACTGGGTGTCCCTGTGGGTGCAACATGAGTGTCAGCTGCCGCTCTTATATCTCCGGTTGTCAGGGATGGCCATTATCTTAGTCCGGCCCCTCTTCACCCCTACCCTAACCTACGCATTTAGCATGAGCTGTGACTTGGCTCTGGGCCCTCTCCAATACAACTCTCCTGCGGGCTCCTTGTCGGAACCTTCAGAAAACCAAGTGGAGTTTGCTGGATCCTCTTCCATGGCTTCCTGCTCACCTTGCTCTCTTCCAATCCCGCAAGTGGGGAGGAGTGGCTTACAGTTCAGTATTGTAACTCCTTATCCTGCCTAAAATCCTTCTTTGTTTCCCATAGAGAGGAAGATTCAGACTCACACAAGTCTCCAGGGCTTGGTCACAGACAAAAATCCTCCAGCCTCAGCCCCGCTCCACAGCACCCCCTAAAGGCAAGATAGGAGAAAAGCAAGACGAGAGTAATGGTCCTCCTCTGTTCCTGCCTGAGAATTGCGCTCAACTTCTCCACTGCCTTGGCCACTCTGAAACCACGATCTGTCACCTGCTGACTTGTAGACATGCACCCCTGTCAACGTTGGACTCCATCACCTCCTCATATAGTTACCTGCTTAAATCACACCCACACACGGGTGTAGAAGTGTTTAAATATTATTTTCCCCATCCCCTACCACCAGAATCTGACTCTATAGCCAGACTGGCTTGAAACTGGTGGCTGTCCTCTCTGTGTCTCCAAAGTGTTGGGATTTACAGTTGTGTGCCATTATGATCGTCTTATTTCAACCTTGTATTTCTGGACCTAGGATCACAATCCTATTCCAGGCTTTACTTCACTGATGTTTAGAACAATGTCTGATGGTGGGATCAATAAGTATTGAATAAATGAATGAATGAATGACCAGCCAGCTAGAACATAGGTATAAATGACACAGACACCAGTATCCTGGCTCCCTCTATTACGTGAGTTGAAGACCACTTCCCTGCTTCTGAAGGTTCTGAAGCAGGCCAGTGGAGACCTGCACTGCCCAGACAGATGGCAGAGGAGGAGGACACAGTCGAGCTGGAAGTGGGTATTGAGGTTTGGCCTTGTTGTCTATTGTAATGTTAAGTGTGGGCCTCCAAGACTTGGAGTCTGCATGTAGACCCAAGTGACCCTACCCCTAAGTTATTTTTGATTGGTAAATAAAGACGTCAATGACCAATAGCTAGGCAGAAGAGACATGGGTGGGGTTTGGGCTTTGGGGGTTGGGGCGAGGGGAAGAAGGAGGTGAAGGAAAAGAAGCCGCATGGGTTAGGTGAGTCATAAAACATGGCCGAGGGCTGGTCAATCGGAGTTAAGAGCATCCAGATAAAACATAGTCAGTAGTAAGAAATAACCCGGGTTATCTATAGGAAAGTTGATTTTAGTAGTAAGGAAGACAGCTATCTGCCCAGCTCTTGTACTGTTTAAGGCTTATTGTAAATATAAAAGTTGTGTGTGTGTGTTTAATCTGGGAACTAAATGGTCAAAGGTGGGGTAGAAACCCCGGGTCAGGATTAAAAATTTCTACAAGTGGGTTCAAGTCTCATCTCATGACTCCTGATCCACCCTTCTCAGCCTGCTGCCCATCTAGAATGGGCAATGGTGCTTGACAGTGCTCCGCCCAAGCCAGCATACAGGTCCAAAATAAGCAGTCTCTGTTTTGGGTGGTGGATGGGAACCCAGGGATGTACAGGAAATGCCCAGGTAGGCATCAGCCATCTCGGAAGTTCTCAAGGCAGTGGTGCACCCTCACCACAAGCTAGAACCAGGTAGGGAGTCTTTCAAAGGCTGCTACCAGTCTTTTAGATCCTCACCCAAATCCCTGAGGAAGACCCTACTGGGTAGTCAGGCTGAGATCTTAAGCAAGTACTAGGAACTAATAACAGATCCAATCATAGACCAACACAAGCGTCTGCCTGCAGGAGTGGAACCTGAAACCCCAAGTTACATCTCTGCTCACCAGCCATCACACACACTACCCCTCACCCCAGAGAAAAAATAATTTTTAAAAAATTGTGCGTCGTTTAAAAAAGTTGTGAAATGGAAAAGTTACCAATTTTCTAAATCCCAAACAGTTTACGCTGATAGAATCCGTCATCACTAAGTTCTCAGAATCCATTGACTGACGGTCATAACAAAGCTCAAGTGTTTATTAAGAATTAAAAATTCTGTAAATAAGCCATATAGTTCATTTCACAGTAAACTAACAAACCTTGTTTTTCTTTTCAGCCTTTTCTGGTTTTTTTCTTTCCTTTTTTGGGGGGGTAGAGGGAGGGAAGGTGGGAAGGGCAAGGCAGCCATTAAAGACATTACATCTCAGAGGGTGAGGGTACATGGAGAACAATTACAGAAACCAGCACTGTGATCCTCACTGAGGGACCAGGCCAGGTGACAGGAGACCTCTCCAGTGATACTGTGACAAAACAAAAAGACTTGGCCTATAGCTCCCAGGGAGATGTCCGAATTCTTTGTGGAAAATACAGCTCTCACGTCAGAGCCCAAAGAACACTCCCTCTAGGATTCCAAACTCACTTGGTGACCCCCTCCTAGTCTGGTGACGCAGATGGGTCCCCAGGAACAGAAGGGCAACAGGGCCTCAGGGTGCATGTTCTCACCTTTAGGACCTACTGAATTTGCATAGTTAGCGGTTGACTAGATTGGGGGGGGGAACATGCCTCTGAAAGTGACCCTCAGGCAGGTGGGGGGAGGGTCCTCTTTCACTCATTCAGAGCTGACTTCTAGGAGTTTTTATCAGTTCTAAATGGAAGACAAGTAAGAGACAGCTCCTAAAAACCCTGGCCAGAAGTATAAAAAAATACAATAAAATTAACTTTCCTTAAAGACAATTAAGAAAAAAAGTTCCCCCCACCTGTTCTTTGTTGTTTTTCTATGTTACTATAAATCTGTCAGCCCGACAGGATATTTTTTTTTTAGGTTAATCTGCTTCCTGATAATCCCCAGTTAAAAGCCACTGGCATCTTTCTAACAGGAGACATCCTTTTCTGCACAGGGCTGGCTGGGCCTTCAGGAAGCCAAATCAAAAGCAGAAACAGGACTTATGAAACCAAAGGTGTGTGGTAATAACTGCAAATAAATTAACTGGGCACAGAACACCAGGATGGTGTTCAGCCGGTGTCTGCTGCTTTCCCTGGGGTGGGGGAGGGGTGGGAAGGTGGTGGTAGGGCACGTGGGAGAAAACATGGGGTGTTTTGTTTTGTTGGTTTTTGGTCGTGAGAAACTGTGCCCACACACACAGTTCATTTAGATCTTTTCATGGATCTTCTCGACTTTCACAAACAACCTATCCAGGTCATTCCGCAGGTCGTCTAGCAGGCCCTTGGCTGACTCTAAGTTATTCTCATTTGTTTCGATTTTGACGGAGTAGGCAACCAGACTGTCCACGGCAGTCCTGAGCATCTTCAAGTCTGACTCCACTTGGCTCACTGAGGATTTCAGGTTGTCTAGAGAGGAAAGTCTGTCCAGGAAGTCCTGAGGAGGCAAGCCTGTGGCCTGGGCTTGGTCCTGGCTGAGCAGTGAGTGCACTTGCTCCTGTAGTGACTCCACGGTACTGGGCAGCTCACCCAGGCTTTGCCTCAGCTCCTTCAAGTCGCTGGACAGCATCAGCTGAGTCTCCCCCAGGCTCCTGACAGTGCTGGCCAGGTCAGATGAGGAGCCCAGGCTTTCCGCGTGCTCCTGTAGCATAGCTAGGCGTTGCTCATACTCCTGGCTCTTGGACAGGAGTGACTCCAGGCTCTCAGTGTGTCGTGCAGAAGCCACCTGCATAGAGTAGACTCCGTCCTCTACGTACTGGAGTCTGGCACCTAGGCCCTCGATCTGCCTGTGAAGCTCATCTAAGGCTTTAGAGTCTTTGAAGACGACAGCCTCCTCTGACCCACGGGCCCCCACCTTCAGCTGCTGCAGCTCTTCCTCCAGTCTCCGGATGTCCTCTGGGAGGCGAGAGGAGGACTCCTCGGACTGGAGAAGCTTCTCTGTGAGGGCCTGCAGAGCCAGGCGCTCTGAGTCGGCCGCCTGCTTGAACGCCTGTTGCTCCTGCTTGAGGCTCACCAGCTCTCGGACCTCTGTGTAGACATCGGACTCCATGGTCTGAAGGGAGCTCTTCAGGGCCTCGATGTCCCTCTCCCTAGACTTCATGGAGGCCTGCACCTCCTTCACGGCTTCTTTCAGAATTTTCACGTCCTGACTGCGGTCCCCCTTGGAGTCTTCCAAGGAGGCAACCTTCATCTTGACCTCACTCATCTCCTTCTGGCTCCTCTTCTGAACTTCAGTGAAGATGGCAATGTTGTCATTGATGGACTTGGTGAGCTCTGTCAGGCGCTCCTCCACCGTGTTCTCCAGGGACGTGAAGTCCCGCTCTCGGGCATCCTTCACCACATGGATCCCGTCCGACAGGTCTTTGAGAATCTCATTCTGCAACTTCTGTAGAACTTCGCTGATGCGGTTGATCTCACTCTCCCCTTCCTTCACGGCTTTCTCTGTGAGATCCTGTTTATGCTGAGAGCTTCTCAGGATAGACTCGAAAGTCCCAAACGTGGCTTGCAGAGATTGTACCTACGGCCAAAATCCAGATGTTAGCCACTGAGAACAAACAGCTGTCTTTGTTTACGCTACTGCTACTTTCTGCATTGTCTGTCCCAGGACCCTCCATATCAGCACTCTCCTTCAAAGGTAGTCATGTGGTGCTTGTGACCACCAACTGCAGGGCCCCTCCAGGTACTCCAGAGTCAGCTCATTACCCAAACTCGGCCAGTCAGCATGGTCCATCTGCATTTGTCGACCCTCGTCTCTTAGCCAAACTGACGAGCCATGGATGGACAAATGCCAGACATGCTGGCGGGGTGGCCAACACCTTTTCCCACTGAGATTGCTGGCTACAGAGTGAGGGAGGCCTGGAGCTACTGAGACCAGCACATGACCAACAACCCATTCAACAATCAAGACAGCACACAGGGAGACAGAGCTGAGACAGGCAAGACCACATTCTGAAGACGTAACTCAATCCTTGAATACAGCTGCACCTGAGGGAGTCTACTCTTGAACTGTTGGGCCAATCAGAGCTCTTCCCTTCTTCCCTTCTTCCCTCCCTCCCTCCCTCCCTCCCTCCCTCCCTCCCTCCCTCCCTCCTTCCTTCCTGCTATTTTGGGCTGGCTTTCTAGTGCTTACACCTGAGCATCACAAGTTTCCTTAGGAAAGAGCCCAAGACACATGGAGACACTGGGCACAAAGCTAAGAGATCAAGTGGAGGTCTGTATCTGTCACTCCCAGGTATGTGGTCTCTGAAAGCCACTGTCCCTCCTGGACTTCAGTGTCCTCGAGCAGTGGGCCAGGTGACTTCTTGGGACACTATGGCCTTTGAGAACACACTATGACTTTCTTTGCTGCTACCCATTCATTCGGCATAAACGCCACTCTTAAAGAGGCTCAGCATAGCAACTCCATCAAGCTGGGCTGACACACTGACCCAGAGGCCCTGTTGACCAGGAACCTAGGCCTTATCTGGATGCGACACCTGTAACATTTGGTGACCAAATAATAATAATAATAATGATAATAATAATAAAGAAAATTAAGAAAAGAAGAGTATTCCCAGCAGTGTAGCCTTGATCCTGTAAGTCCCTAGGTTCAACTACCTATTTCTGGAATATATAAGAGAGACCTGCTATGACACCATGAGGTTGTTACCAGCTAAAGCCAGTGTGGAGCACTCTGTGGAATAAATGATGCCATTAACAGTCAACAATTGAACATATTTCAAAAAGGGAGGAAGGTAGCCATTCTAGATTAAACTAAGTTTAAGAGTTTTCAGGGGTGGAGAGATGCTGAGGTGGTTAAGAGAGACGACAGCTCTTCCAGAAGCCCCAGGAATCACATGGCTGTTCGCAATGTCTGTGACTCAGTTCCATAGGCTCTGAGGTCCTCCTTTGGCTTCCTCGGGTACCAAGTATGTATAATACATACATACAGGCACAACACCCAAATACATAAAATAAAAATAAATCTTTGTGTGTGTGTGGGGGGGGCTCTCCATTTAAAAACAGGACAAGAGTATGAAATAGGCTGCTTGCCTGGCATTCGCAAGATCCCAGGTTCGAGCCCCAAGCACTTAATAAATCGGGGCTGGTGGCATATTCCTGTAACCTCACCATTCAGGAGGGAAAAGTAGAAAGATCAGAAGTTCAAGGTCATCCAAGCTACACAATGAGTCTGAGGCTGGCCTGGGCTACACAGAGCACTATTTTTCAAGAAAACAAACAAACAAAAAACCCCAAGAAAACAACAGATTAAACAACAAGGCTCTGAAGCCAGACTGGGTAGGCAAATCTTAGCTCAATGCTTCATTGCTGTTTGGTCCAGGACAAGTTACATACTGTCTGTATCTTGGTTTCCTCAGCTACAAGGTGTGACAAAAATAGTACCTGACTCACAGTGAGAACTGAATGAGTCTAAACAAATAAAATGTTTAACTGTGCCTAACACCCAATGGCCGCTCAACACGCAGCATCTACTGTCTTCATCGCCACTGAGCTTTGATCTAAGTTCCTCAGAGGACAGGGACTCTTAGCGGCATCTTCCACTCAATGCCAAAGGAGAAACTGAGAGCGGGGATGCAGACAGGATGTCCTGATGGCAGCGCACACCCTCCGAATGCTCTGGGAACTCAAAGTCATATTCACTTCCCAAGTCCCGGGTTAGATTAGAATGGGGTTCTCAGGGCCTCCCGAAAGTAGACAATTTCCCTCCCCAGCCAAATATAACCTGAGCCATAAAAGAATCTGCTGAGAAGGCACTAGAGAGAGGCGACCTCTAAAACTGGGTTAGTAAATCACAATGCCTTCCTGTTCTAAGAACAGCACTTAAAATAGAGGCATGAGGGTGAGCCCAGCACCTGCAACACGGCAGGCTACGTTCAGGATTTTCTCGATGGACTGAAGAATGGAGGGATTCAGAGCATGCCTGATGAGGCCTGGGCAGGCCTAGCTCCTATTCAGTCCCAGGCTGGCTCTTTACAAACGGCTAGGAAGTAAATCAGATCAGAAACTATAACCAATCCCCAAAGGAACCCAGAGTCTCCCCTTCTGAGAGCAGGGAAGGTTGTTCATCTTCACGCACAAAGAGCTCATACCAATTCATATGCACTGGACGGATGTCTGTCCTTCTGGTATGTGGGGGATGTCTGTTGTGTGGCACGTGAACGCCAGCGATGGGATAATGACTGCAACGCCATCTCTGCCTTCGTGGAGCCTTGCTGGGATGACAGTGGACAGCCCGATGCTACTTCTAATGGCTGACGGACAGTCAATGGGACTGTCACATACAGACATGTGAAAGCCAGACATTGACTGTTCTCCACGCTTACTTGTTTGTTTGACACAAGGTCTCTTACTGGAGCTGGAACATGCCAATTTGGCTAGACCAGCTGGCTAGCACACTCCAGAGATATCTCCTGTCTGTGCCTCCCCAACACTGGGGTTTCAAGTGTGGACTACCAGGCCCAGCTTTTACACAGCCCGAGAAATCTGAACTCCGTTCTAATGTTTTCATAGCAAGTACTTTACCGACTGGACTATCCTCATCTACCCCCAATGTCCTCAACCCCAATTCTTACGAATCTTGATGGTACCTTCCTCCAGCCTGGAGAATGAGAAACAGGCTCAAAGAGGAAAGTGATTTGCATGCAGCTGTGTCAGGGGAGGGTAAAACCAAGAAAGAGACCGAAAGGCAACATAGGAAATAACACCCAAGTTCTTCAACCTGAATCCATCCACTTTGGGCCTCAGTTTCCAACTTCCCCTGTAGTTCCTGCATGTCATTCTGTCACTGGAAGGCTAAGTATCTTCTGTCCTTCAGGCATGTTCGAGATTGTCCCCTTGCCTGTATGGGGACATTCCTTCTCCTGATAGTTCTAATGGCTGGCCCTGGGAAATTGCACAAACCCTTTCTTCCCAAAGCGTGCCTAAGTTACCCACCCCTGAAACCTACTTAGGGTGCTACCTCACAAGCTTGATCTGTGCCTTCTTCTCCTCCGTATTTTCCACAGGGCCCACGCACAGCCATGCAACTACCAGACTTCAATAAATATTATGACTGATTAGCAAGTGAGTGGTTGGAAGAGAGGAACCGGGCTAGCGATTAGACTCCCGCAGGGCGTCTATGCTCTCAGGCTGGTCTGACATTCAGCAGGCAGAGCAGAATCACCCACTTTATTCTCCCAGATAAGTCACCTCCCTTGGCCTACACCACTTCACAGGCTGACTCACTCCAGTTGCTCTCCCAGTCTTGAGAGGAAATTCCTAGTGCTGCACACTCAACAAAAAGAAGAGACTTGGCAGGGCAAGCGGCATGCTGGGAAAAGGAGGCCGTGGTTCCGGCTCCGAAGTGGCGGGATTTTTTGTTTCCGTCCAGCAACTGAGTTTCATTGAGCAAGGATGTGGGTGGATGATGGAGAAGGCACGGGAGGGAAGGGGTTGACACTTCGGCTGGAAGGGTGGAAACTGAGCCATTTGTCTTGAGAGCTGCGTTCGGTCATCACGAATGGTCCACACTTTCTTATACAATCTGCAACTCCAGCCAGCTGCGATCTGTGTCAACTCACTTTGTGTCTCTAAACCTCAATATTCTGGTCTGGAAAATGGAGTCAAATTTGTCAGCCCTCTTTTCCTTCCTCTAGTTAACTCTTCGGGTTAGAAAATAAAATACATGAGTCCGCCATCTTCACACCACATAAATGTGACCTAATACCTTTGGCCTTGTGTTTCCCCTAAAGCTGGCTACTTCAAAGGCCCACATGGGCTCGTTGGTCCAGCTAAGGACAAGGGACCTAAAGATAGACACCATTTCATCTGAACTTAGCAAATGACTAAGCTCACTAGCTTTTCCTTTCCCCCAAAGTTCTGGGTCTATTAAAAACTGGCTCGGATGACTCCTACTGGCACAGCCAAGGTTAAGTCTTGACCAGAGGCTTCCAGGGATGCGCTGATTTCCCTTCCAGCCTCCTTTTGGGGCAGCTCTGCCCATTCAGCGGTTCCTAATGCAAAAAGAATGGACTACGTAGAGCCTGCCGGCTTCCTTACAGGTCACCGCTAATGTCCTGTGACAGGCCCTTGGCCCATCCTTCCCCGATGGTCTGGCCATCCTGAGAGTCCCCTCTATCCGTCTCTGAGGCCAATAACAAAATGGGTCTGGGACCACCCTGGCGACTAGGGAGCTGGGGTCCCAGCTCTTGCCACAAGGGCCTGGGCAGGAAAGGACCAGGGCCCTTCAGGGAGGGCAGGAGTGGAGTCCCAACCCCTCCAAAGCTTGAGTACCCACCTTCTGCTCGACGCCCTGTAAGCCCTGGCCCAGCTCGTCCCTCTGACGGGAGAAGTCCTGGTGGCCACGCCGGACCTGCTGGACCTCCTCCAGGACGTGATGGACATACCAGCCCGAGAAGGCGGCCGCCGCCACCAGGGAGAGGTAGAAGAGAAAGTTGAGCAGCCGGCCAAGCCTGCGGGAGCAGGACGCGGAGGACGCGGCGGCGGCGGCGGCGGACCTGCCGCGGTGGCCGCCCCGGTGCGCCTGGTTCTGCGGGTGCTGCGGCGGGTGCGGCGCGGGCGGCTGCGGCTGCTGTTGCGGCGGCGACGGCTTCTTCGCCACGTCATCCGCGCCGCCCGACGGGTGGGCGCCCTTGTCCGAGGGGCTCGCGGCGCCGTGGCCGCCCTTGGAGCCCCTTTGTTTGGCCGAGGGCATGGCGGCGGCGGCGCGGCGCGATGGGCGAGCGGGGCGCGCGGCCCGGGACGCTGGCTCCGGCTCCCACGGGGACTGCGCGGGCGGCACGCGGGCGCGGCGGCGTCGGAGCGGTCGGGAACGTGGGGCGACGAAGAAGGAGGACGGCCGCGGAAGGAGGAGGGGGCCTGGCTCCGCCGCCGCCGCGGCGCCGACCCCGCCTCCCGGGAAGGGAGGCCGAGCCCAGCCCGAGAGCCTGCCACGCAAGCGGGCCGCCGCCCCTCCTCCCTTCGCCGCGACCCCGCGGAGGGCGGGCGGGGCCCGGCGGGGCGAGGCTGGGCGCGGCTGCCGGGATGGCCGAGCCTCCCAGTGCCCGGGCTACCTTCGAGGGGAGTCAGCGGGATGGGGGTGCCCCTGAGCACTGTGCTGAGCGCGATCCCCACCTGGGCGAAGGGGGAGCACAAGGGGGCGCGGAAAGCACGGTTCTGGAAGGTGGGGACAGGACCGGGACTGGAAGCCCTCCGTGCCCACTGCTTTCCCGGGAACACCCCTCCTCTAAGGCCGCCCTGAAGCCGGGCCAGGCCTTGTCTCTTCCCGAGGATTTTTAGGCTCGAAGGACTCTGTACCCAAGCACCTTGGGTATGGACTACGACTTGTCCTAGGGTACTGAGTTACTGCCCTCTTTGCCTGGACAGTAGGCTGTATGCAATACTCCCAGCCCCGCCCGCCCACCCCGGTTCTCTTTTCTTTTGAGGTATCATAAAGTCTCTCCACAGCTCCAGTTCCTGGCAGCCTCTGGGTTGAGTGTAGGGAAGTCACCAGCACCCTCACACTTAGAGGGACACAGGTCGAGGTTGTCACTTCCACGTTTGTGAAAAGAGATATAACAATGCCAGGCCCCCGTGCTTATCAGTTTGTATGGGCTCTGAAACCCTCGCAAAATCCTTGAAAGGTTGGGATTATATTTGCCCGTTTAATAGGAAGCACACAGGCTGAGCCTCAGCCCCAGCAGAATGCTTCAAGGTCACACACAGCCGTGTTTTGAACCTTCTGCTGATGCTTCTGAAGCCTGCGGGTTGGGTCTTCACTTAGGACTGGGAGGGAAATTAGGACCCACTATCAGCTCAGATAGGTAGTAGCTATCTGGGCCTTTTCTCCGGCACCTGGCTCCTGCAGTCCTAGTGTGTGCCTGGCAGAAGTAGGGACGCTATTTCTTCTGTCTGAAACTTCCTCCCAATCTGCTTAGAAGTGGAAAAAAATAGAAACAAAACGGAAGTCTTTTCCATGTTCAAATACCACCACTTCCATACGTTGGCTGTCACATGCCTGACAATACTTGAGATAAGTATTTGCAAGGAGACACTGTATGTGCAACTTTATAAGGGGAAAACTTTGCTGATGGCCCACTGTGTGCCGGAGAGATGTCTGTCCACTGCTAGAGGCACCTTCCTTGAGGACAGCCTCGTTGCTCCTCATTCTTTTCGTAGCTCACCTTTAAAGTCTGAATGGGCACATATGTGCCTGTGATCACGGGATCTGCTTTACAAGGCGGTGTGTGTGTGTGTCTGTGTCTGTGTGTGTGTATGTGTCTGTGTGTCTGTGTGTGTGTGCACGTTTTAATGCTTAAAAGGCCAACACCTAAGAACTGAGATGATAAATGTAAAGCAAACTTGGAAAAGCAAGCTTTGAGCTGTACGCAGGGTAGAAAATGAGAAATAATTTGGAGAGTGGATTTGGATGGTGGGCAAGCAGGAGTAGGGTGAGCCCAGGACACCTGTCTACTTGAAGGGTGTGTGCTGCATCCTGAGCTGAGCTAGGAAGAATGGCTGTTGATTGCAAAAGGCCACAAAAGAAGGTCACAAAGCAAGCTGGAGAGTCACTGATATCTGGGGAAAACAGTAAATTAAATTTGGGCCAGAGTGGTCTCTAGTGAAGTCATCTGCTCTAGACAGTAGAGAATGCCCTTCTGTGGGCTGAATTGCAGGAACTATAGCAGAAACCTCCCAGTTCAACAAAACGCAGGGTTCCTCTGCATGAAGGACAGAGAGACAGGAGATGATTGTCCTAAGATGTCCAGGACTTGCTTAAAAACCATCTCAGTTCAAGGTGTGATTAGGATTACTGAAGTGCGAATGGGGACCTTCTCCTCTTGTCATCTGTGTAAGGAGACAGGCAGAGTGCGGAATCCAGTCAAGCTCTGGCCTGCAGGCAGAAGCCCGTCTGCTCTTTGAGCCATGGCTTTGACATCAAATTCTGTGACCTTGAGGCATGGACTTACCCCCCACTCTGGATTTCAGGGCCACCTTCTCTGTAAGTCACATCTCTAAAGCTCCTTTCATTATAACATTAATCTGTTCCTTAGAGAAAACACTCATGTATTTGTTAGTGAAAATAATCAGTGATGTTTAGATTTTTTTTTTTAGGAGTCACATGTGAAGGTGACATGGGAATGGGAGGCTTCTCAGGTTTTCTCCTGTGGAGCACTGGGAGAATAGTAGGTGACAGGTTAGAGCGATGGCTCAGTTGATACAGTGCTTGCCCTACAAGCACACAGACCTGCATTTGATCCCCAGAACCCATGTTAAAGGCCATTCCAGCACTGGGAAGATGACTTCGTGGATAAGAGCATTGGTTTCACAAGCGTGAAGACTTAAGTTCAAGTTCCCAGGACCAACATAAGAGGGCAGGCATGGCTGCAGGAGAGTGGAACCCTAGTGCAGGCCCGGGCAGGGGCAGGCGGGGAAGGTAGTGAGGAACCAAAATGATTGCTGGGGCTTGGTGGCTGCCTGTCCAGCTCCACATTTACTGAGAGATGTTTGCCTCAGGAGATCAGGTGGAGAACAGTAAGGCAGGATACCTGAAATCTTCTCTGGCCTTAACATGAAAGTACATATAACACACATACATACACACACACACACACACACACACACACACCGCAGTGGGGGAAAAGCAGTGGATATAATATAGTGGTCAAAAATCTGGGATAAACTGATTTGGGGGTCACATTCAGTTCTAGAACTGTCTGTAAAACATGATGTCCCTGAATTTCAGTGACTTCATCTGTCAACTGAGATGATGAGAGTTGGTTCACCACACCGTGGAGACTGCAGGAGAGATACCATGTGATGCTGGTTTCATAGCAAGGCTCTATATGAAGAAAGGGTAGGTAACGCTGTTTGCAGAGCCCCTGGGAACACACAGAGCTTCACAGAGCTTCACAGAGCTTCACAGAGCTTCATAGAGCTTCACAGAGCTCCTATGTCCAGATTTCAAGGATTGTCTTTCATCGTCATTTCTGGGAGCTCCTCACACCATATGTGGCTCCTAGACCACAGGCTATGATGTGTTTAACTTTAAAAGGCAGTCAGTGTTCTCTGAAGTAAGCTGTTTGGTTACACCCATAGGAGGAGGGGACCTGCCCAGAGCCATCATGGAAGTAAACCTTGTAGAAACGGGGATTTCTAGAGATTTCCATCCTGCTGACTTTCCATATGGGCACAGCATGCATCCAAGGGATGTTCCTCCATCCCGTCTTCCTTCTTCCCACCCTAAAGTGTGTAGCATGGATGAGGAGCCAGACACATCTCTCCCAGACATGTAGCTCTCCCAGGATGCCTCCAGACCACCTCATGTTGCACGGACTAAATTATGTCTGTGTTCTGAAAGCCTGCAGTCTTTTTTGTTTCCCACATCCCAGCCAGGACACCTGAGGAAAGCGCCTCCAGGAATGTCAGTTGCTTCCTCTCTGTTCTGAGATAATATGGTCCCCAGAAGCGAAGCCACAGGTCCCCAGTGCTTTACAGAATCATAATTCTCCTTTGGAGACCGAGGCCCACCCACCCCTCTTCCCATGCAATGTATTAGCGAGCCTTTGTGGCGTTTCCTTCACATGGTACCCAGCATTCCCCCTTCCCCAGAGCTATTTTGTTGATGTGGGCAAAGCTGCTTACACCCAGGTAACTGAAGTAACTCCCAACCCGGTCTTTGTTCAAGGATGTGATGTCCTATTGTCTGTGTTCAGGATGAAAGTCAGCATATCTCCATTAAAGTGTAAGTCACATTGTGTCTCACTTCTGTCCCAGCCCCTCCTAGGACTTCATGTAACCACGCTGGCCTCTGCATCCTCAGAATGCCAGGTATCTTACTTTTTGTTTCCTGGTTCCCTTCTTGTTGCCTAGTTAACCTTATCTCTTTGACTGTCTTCTTTGATTTATTTTTTTAACATTTATTTTCATGTGTGTTGGTGTTTTGCCTGCACGTCTGTGTGAGGGTGTCAGATCCTCTGAAACTGGAATTACAGACAGTTGTAAGCTGCCATGTGGGTGGCAGGAATTGAACTCAGGTCCTCTGGAAGACTAAACAGTGCTCCTAGCCTCCGAGCTATCTCTCCAACCCTGACTGTTTTATTTTAAAGGTCTCTTTGTTCTGTATAAGCATTCTCCCTCTCCCTCTCCCTC